ACAAACAATCATTAAGAAAACATGGGACGAAGTTAATCAAAAACCTAACCTAATTCAAATAATTTGCAAGTTTACCGTAACATCGACGAAACTTTCGAATCAGTTAAGAATCTCGAGCCATGAGGTAATCGTCTTTCAGTTACTCTCGGCCAATATTGGTCAATTATGGTTGAAAATTGCAGAAAATTGATCGACTCGGATCGATGAGACAACCAAGAATCTCGACTCAAGAGCCGAGCGTCTTTCGGCCATCTTCGGCTAATTTTCCGATCTTAGTCGAAAATAACCGAATACGATCGGCTCTAGTTTCAGCATTCCCAGTCATTCGGGTTTAGCGTCTCGTCGGTAAACCATTCAAAAGTAGAAGTATCCCGACTCTACTTCTTTCTTAAAAATTCTTAATTTTCCAATCGAATTGTCATAGTGTACGATCCAATGTATCCAATAATTTTGTAGAAACGAAAATATCAATCTCGATATGCGTATCGATTCATATACGCACGTTCTAACCTAATCTAATTCATTCGAAGTAACCGTTCCAGTTTCGACACTTGCAAGAAACTTTCGATCCGATATTACCTAAACGTATGCACGTAGAGGATAATTAACGAACGACAGTCACGTTTCTCGTGCTCGTCTCGATATCTCGAGTTAGATCTACTAGCGGGTGTCCCATCAAAGGAGGGTTAACCCGATTTCCCAATTTGATCCGGATTCCCAAAAGGTCACCGGTTGAGCGTTGGTAGTCTTCCGCGTCTCGAGTAGTTGAGGATTTTCTCAACGGCGAAAGGTACTCTAATCCGATCCGTAAACACAATAGAAAGTATCTCAGGGAATCTAGGCTACCGAGCGAACATTGTTGCGCGCGTGCGCCACACACGTCCTCTGTATGTGTTATTCTCGGATACGTACCGAGACCTGAATACCGAGCTGCCCTCCAGCCTCGGCAAAAATGTTTGACATCCGGTTACCTCGTGGAGAACGGTCTTTTGACGCGCCATCGACATTTTTTCGGCGAGATGGGGGGGGAGGGGGAGGGGAAAGGCGAATAGGTTAGGCAGTAAGATAGCGGTGATGGAGGAATTCGAGAGATGGAAATT